TTAATATATATATACACTAGAAATTTTGATATACTAGCTTCAAAACTGTAAGTTAAAATACAATATTATGCAAAATACATAACATACATAATATTAAATTATTGACCATGCAATTTCTGGATTTAAAACTTTTAGTTGAAAGTATAAGAATTTATAGCTAAATTTACAAATATTGAGATTTTTATATGGCCAAGGGAGTTGCCATAGTTTTAAGTATAGTTTATTAGCTTTATAGAAGTTGTTTAAATTTTGAGAAAGTTTTGCTTGTTAAGTCAGGCATCTGAAGTCCCTGAATAAAAATGAAAATACTAAAATTATAAATGCAGCTTTAAATTAGGCAAATCAAGCTTTAAATGTAGCTAAGAGCATTTAGTCCTTTCTACCTCTTGTGGCCATATTCTTCAATAGGCTAACCTGAACTTCTTTAAATGGTACTGTCAAGAGAGCCAAATGGTAGGTCCGAATGCACAAGCACTTTTCAAGTTCTTGCTAACTGCATTTTTTTTTTTTTTTTTTACTATCACTCAAGCAAGGTAAACCCAGAAACAATGTGGGAGAGGTTATAAAGGGTCAAGACAATAGAATTTTTGAAGATTCACTAAGGAAGCATATTATGAGAGAAAGGGAGGAGAGCTACTTCTCATATATGTCCTGAGTTCAGTTCTGGAGTTACCTTGGGTTTTGTCCAAAAGAGCCACCTGCAAGGACAGAGGTTAGGGCAAACAGAGGGGTTCCACAAGGACACAGAGAGAGGACAACAAGATTCACTTTACTGCAACACTGTGACACATCGCTGCGGAATGTTAGTTGTAGGAGTGCTATAGACTGGATGTTTGTGCGTCTCCCCCACCCACAAACACAGGTTAAATCCTAATGCCCGATGTTATTCAGAGGAGGGGGCCTTGGAGAGGTGATCAGGTTATGAGGGTGAAGCTTCATATTATTATAAGGGCAATAATCCTATTAATGGATCTGAGAGATCCCGTACCCCTTCTGCCATGTGAGGACACTGTGTAAAGATGCCTGCTATGAACCACATCCTCACTAGATACTGAATCTGCTATGCCTCGATTTTGGACTTCTCAGTCTTCAGAATTGTGAGAAATTCCTATTGCTTATAAATTACCGAATCTACGGTATTCTGTTGGCAGCACAAACAGACCAAAGAGAACTTCCAGTTCTTTTCCTAGGCACAAAAGCATATTCACACAGATGCACAGTGTGAGTGGACGGAAAGATTGATTGGCTTACCAAATGAGGGGTCACTATATGCAAAGAATCCAAATGCAACTGACCATTCATAAGCACATTATGAACATAGAAAACAATGTAATTTCTTCAAAATTGTACTGAGTGCTCACTCTTCCTAATACCCCGAAAATACAATCATGGGAAAAAAATAAATCTATAGGACTATTTTATGAAATATTTATATTATATGAAATCTGGGAGTATTAGCCTGGAGAGGAACGTCTTCTCAGCTCAATAATTTCATGATTATATCCTCTTCAAAAATAAAACTTTGGCTTGCATGGTCTGTATTCACACTGACTCCTACTAATCTTTCCAGTCTCCTCATGTTGAGAGAAGACAAGTGTTTGCTTGCTGCACACTGATTCCTCTCCATGAGTGCAAGGCAAAACAAAACACTTTCTGTACACAGTAGAGACTAAATTTTTCAACACCATGCTTTACGTTAGAAACTGGAAAAGTAAGTTACTATTCATTTTCTTGATAAGGCAGCATAAAAGGGATGGGAATTACATCTAGAATGTAGGTTGGTTGGTACAGAGAACAGACATAGCAATTATAAAAGGCAAGTCTTTCTTGTGAAGTGATTCTGGGAAGATAAAACTGCTCATAAAACCAAAAAGATGAAAGAAGGCAGATTTAGGCAAGTGCTCCTATAGTAAAGCCACTTATAAAATTGTCAGATAAATCCCTTCTCTTGGTGAAAATTGAGTGATTTAGAAAACTGCATGAAGAATAATAGTGGGTTTTAGGGATTTTCCTCAAAATTATACACAGAGAGTGACTGACTAGAACCTAAGTTAAATTTCTTTGTCCACAGTTAGGTACAAACATACTACAGTGCATTAGAGCCTAGACCTTAGTTAACTCATTTCCTACTGCATCCCCAGTGTCTAGCAGAGTGAAAAAGCCCTAAGATACTGTTAGAATGAGTAAAGTATATAAAAAAGTAGAGACATTACTTTGCCTAGAAAGGTCCAAAGAGTCAAAGCTATGATCTTTCCAGTAGTCACATACAGATGTGAGAACTGGACCATAAAGAAGGCTGAGGATCGAAGATTTGATGCTTTCTAACTGTGGTGTTGAAGAAGACTCTTTGAGAGTCCCTTGGACAGCAAGGAGATCAAATCACTCAATCCTAAAGGAAACCAACCCTGATTATTCATGGGAAGATTGATGCTAAAGCTGAAGCTCCAGTACTTTAGCCACCTGATGTGAAGAGCTGACTCGCTGGAAAAGACCCTGATGCTGGGAAAGATTGAGGGCAGGAGGAGAAGGAGGTGACAGAGGATGAGATGGTTGGTTGGCATCATCAACTCAATGGACATGAGTCTGAGCAAACGCTGGGAGATAGTGAGGGACAGGGAAGCCAGGCATGCTGTAGTTCATGGGGTCACAGAGTCAATACATGACTTAAGAGACGGAACAACAATAACAAAGTTATAAAATTTAAGCAAGATTTTGCATTTAATCAGTACTGCTATTGAGATTTGGGTTATAACTTTAGTGTCATTAATTATTACAAAATTACTTAGGTTCTCTGAACCTGTACTCATTCAGTTTTGAAAAATGAGAATAAAACTTACTATTAGGCCAGGTACCTTAAATGTGAATAAGAAAGTGAGGAGAGGTAAAGGTAGAAAAGACTAAAACAGACAGAACAAAAATAATAAATAAATAGAAAATAATAGTTGTAATGAATGAAAAACAAGAACAAAAATAAGGTGCTGCAGTAATAATAACAGATGACTACTACAAAAGTAAGTATGTAGTTTTAAGCACAGTAAATGACATATGTGCTCCAGAAACACCAGCTTTCCTCTCTGCCTCCCCCTGCTAAATTATGAATTGAAAACACTGAACATGAAGAATATTTAATTCAAATTCTTGAGTAAACAAAGTTATGTAATCAGAATACATATTTTAATATAGACAGCAAGACAGAGGAACAAGCACTTTACAAGTATTGGTCTCCAGCATGCAAGAGAAAGCCATGTATCAGTTATAAACATATCCTTTAACCAGAAAGATTCGTGTGCAATCATACTATTCAAGTCTGAGCAGAGTTCTTAAACTCTCCAAGCCTTGATTTCTTAACTTAGTTGGAAAATGAGAACAATATAAGCAGCTATTTCACTGAATTATGAAGATTAAATGAAATAATGAATAAGCTATGGTAATCAAAACAGTTTGCAACTAGCATAAAAACAAACACACAGATTGATAGAACAGATTAAGGAGGCCAGAAATAAAAGAATCAAGAATATACAATGGGGAAAGAATAGTCTCTTTAATAAATGGTTTTGAGAAAACAGAACCACAAGCAAAAGAATGAAACTAACCCCTGTTTTACTTCACTCAACTAAAAAATCAACTCAAAATGGATTAAAGAACTGAACATACAACCGACAACCATAATTCTTCCAGTAGAAATAGGGGATAAGCTCCCCAACATTGGTCCTGGCAATGATTTTTTGGACTTGGAACTAAAGCACAACAAAAACAAAATAAAAATAAAAATAAATAAACAGTCCTATGTCAAACTAAAACATTTTCACATAACAAAGGAAATCCATGGAATGGGAGAATCTATTTGCAAAAACAGATATGAAAACAGGTTAATATTCAAAATAAAAACTCATACAACTCAATCACAAAAAAACAAAACCTGATTCAAAAATGGCGCAGGAACTTCTTCCAAAGACATATAATGGCCAACAGGTACATGAAAAGGTGCTCATAATCACGCAAGGTCAGGGAAATGCAAATCAAAACTACAATCAGAGTATCAATTACTTCACACCTGGTAAGAATGACTATCATCAAAAAGACAAGAGATAAGTATTGGTGGCAAAAATGTAGAGAAAAGGGAACACTTGTGTATGGCTGGTGGGAATGCAAACTGATGAAACCATCATAGAAAACAATGACACTATGGTTGTGATAAAAAAAAAATAAATAAATAAATAAATTAAAAAAAAAAAAGAAAACAATGATACAGGCTCGTCAAAAACTTAAAAACAGAACTACCATACTACCCAGCAGTTCCACTTCTGGGTATATATTCGAAGAAAACTAAATCACTTTTGAAGAGACAGTCATTCAGCGTTACTCACAATAGCCAACCCGTGGAAACAACCTAAGTATAAATGCATGGATGAAAGGATAAAGAAAATGTATTAATAGTATGGACACACAATGCACTATTACTCAGACACACACAAAAAGAAATCTTACCATTTATGACATCATGACAACATGGATGGAACATGATGGCATTACGCTAAGTGAAATGTCAGAGAGATAAAGAAAAACAACTGTGATCTCGTTTATATGTGGGATCTAAAAAAAGCAAACTGACAGAAACAGAGAACAGATCTGTCAACAGGTACAAACTTTCATTTATAAGATAAATAATTTATGGGGACACAGGGCATAGTCAAAAAAGGGTTAACCAACAATGTTTGGCATACCATCTTTCAGTAAAGGACGAGACAAAATGATCATTACTACAAATCCGATGAATGTCTCTAAATGGATCACAAAATTATGTTTTTTATTTTTTGCTGAACGGCTTGGAAAGAAATTATTTTCAAAAGTAAACTTCGGTAGCAATTAGAGTTAGCACATGAAAGAAAGTGCTTAAAATTTAAAAAAGATGGAGGCACTGGTCGAAACAGTTGAAAATGTATTTTAGATTTCAAGTCTACAGCTTGAGAAGTTTTCCTAGCGGTGTACCACATTTCAGAATGGTTGAGAGCAGCCCGATGGGCAAAACTCGCACAAAGCAAAGCTGCAAGCGTTTGGGAAGGCAGCTGTCAGGGAAAGCCACCCTTGGTCACCAAGCAAGTAACACCAATAGGGCTGGTGAGTAGAGAGGTGACTTCTCTTTCTACCCCCTAGCAGTGGCCTGGGCAAGTTCTAACCTCTCCTCTCTGGAACCTTCGCTCAACCTTCAAGTCCGTCAACCCGCGAAGATAATGGGGCTACAGGTAAGGCGGCCGAGGTCGGAGGATGCGGTGTCCTCTTCCCAAATCCTCACTCGCCCCCAACCAAGCTCGCGGCCCCCAACTCCACTGTACAGAGACAGACGGTGAAATCGAAGAAGCTAAAACTTCTGCCTCCTTACAGAAGGCACCACCCAGGGCGTCGCCAGCGAACGCCCAAGGAGAGGGCGGCGTCTTCCCACCTCTTCAGACTCTGGCTGGGCCCCTCAGCCCCAAAGAGGAGCTTCTCTCCCCCGGGACCGCCCACATCAACTCCTCCCCAGCCACTAACCAATAGCCTGACGTCACCTGGGAGCAGTTCCACCAGGGGTTGACTTAGAGAAACCTCGGGAAGAGCGGTCCGGCGAGCGGCGCCACCGAAGGTACAGTCATGTTGGGCCTCTTTCAGGTCACCAGCGCAGACACGCCTCGGCCGCTGCGCCTCCCGCCTCCGGGCGGTTCCCCCGCACCTCGGTACCGCCGCAGCCTCCCGCACTGCACGCCGGGAACGGCCTACCTCCACTTCTCAGAGACATCAACGTCCTAAAAGTCCCGGCCTCCAAGCAGAACTGCATTTTGGGATTTGGAGTCCTCATCTCACGCCTTCACTTCGTCCTTAACACACAGTGCAGCGAACTCGCGGGGGAATCTGAACGTAAAGCATCACCCACGGTCGTGAAATGCAGGCATCGCTAGCATCCGGGCTCTTGTTGCGGCCTCGGCGGGGGTGGGGAATGGTGTCGCCTAGCAGCCGCCGTCGCTATTACTCGCTGGGGACCAGTTGGCGGGATCCAGTGTCCGACTGGAACGGCGCTGGAGAGCGGTCAGGTTTGGCGGCTGGGCCGGGCCGAGTCGGCAAGGTAGCTGAGAGGCAGGCCGCCGCTGGTTGCCAGTCTTGGTGTAGGTAGGTGGATCCTGGTGAGCGCAAACCGAGAATCTCTTCCCACGCAGGTTCTTTAACCTTCGGGGCCCAGATAGACGACAGCTCAGTTTCCCCGTTCCTTAGCCTCCTGTCCGCAATCGGTTTGCTTTCCCTTCGCTTCAGCCCTCATTTCCCAGGTCCAGCTGCACTCGTTTCAATCGTATATTTCCTCACTTTTTTTTTTTTTTTAAAAATCCTAGCTCTTGTTTCTCAGAATCAGGGCTCAATTTTAGCCTTCCAAGCACCCCCGCGCTTGGTACCATTAGGTGTTCGAGCGCTCTGGTGGCAAGGGGGCATGGAGAGGCGGGACTGAGTCTTAGTTCTGACCTAGACTTAGTTTAAGCGTGGAAGCCTTCGTAAATTATTTGACCGATAAAATATTATTTGTTGCAACTGCTGTACTTTTCATACAGACTATTTAATAGACATATCTGTTACACAATTAAGGAGCAATAGCTGTTTACAAACACCCTAGAGAGTTGTAACAATGTGATCTGTAACAACTTTAAATTACTGTAAAAACAGTAATGCTACTTAACCTTGTAAATGCTAATACCCACTTGTTTTGTTACTGAAGGTAAAGCACAGTGAAAGAATTCAAGATGCCACCTAATATAAACTGGAAAGAAATAAAAAAGGTTGATCCAGATGAGCTGCCTCGTCAAGAAGAGTTGGCAGATAATTTATTGATTTCCTTATCCAAGGTACTTAATTGATAAAGAAAGCATAGATACATACATACAACTATGATTAATTTAAATTGTCCGTGAAATTACTGAATGGTACAACTGAAAGAATTCTTATATTTTGCTTAAGGATTATAAAATATGAAATTGTTGCTTTTCTCTTTACTTAGGTGGAAGTGAATGAGCTAAAAAGTGAAAGTCAAGAAAATATGATACACCTTTTTAGAATTACTCAATCACTAATGAAGGTTTGTATGCAGTACTAATAGCTTTGACTATTAGAGAAAGCTCAAGAATCTCTTCTTAGATAAGTTAATCTCTAAAGTACTTTGTAAAATCTAAATGGCAGCTAAAGTTCCTAAAAGAATGTGTAGGGGAAACAGAATGGTTGTGTTTTAAAAAGCATAGGGATGTCTTATGTTAGTGAGTGAAAGTCACTCAGTCCAGTTTGACTCTTTGTGACCCCATGAACTATATAGTCCATGGAATTCTCCAGGCCAGAATACCGGAATGGGTAGCCTTTCCCTTCTCCAGGGGATCTTCCCAACCCAGGGATTGAACCCCCATCTCCCACATGGTAGGCAGTTCTTTACCAGCTGAGCCACAAGGGAAGCCCAAGAATACTGGAGTGGGTAGCCTATCCCTTTTCCTGCAGATCTTCCCCACCCAGGAATCGAACCGGGGTCTCCTACATTGCAGGCAGATTCTTTATCAACTGAGCTATCAGGGAAGCCTGTCTTACGTTAATTATGTTATAATTTGTTAGAGTAGCCAACCACTGTAGGGATTTGTTAGAAGAGAAAGAGATTTAGATGTGAGAATACCTTATAAGGGCTTTCCTGGTGGCTCAGCTGGTAAAGAAGCTGCCTGTAATGCAGAAGACCGGGATTCGATCCCTGGGTTGGGAAGATCCCCTGGAAAAGGCAACAGCTACCCACTCCACTGTTCTGGCCTGGAGCAAAGAGTCAGACACGACTGAACGACGTTCACTCACTCTCTTACCTTATAAAGGTCAAAGACTGTTCAGAAATTTTAGGTAAGTGGAGACAGTGGTAAAGTGTTAACGAGATGCTAGCACTGGTGTGCATATGTGCTAAGTCACTTCAGTCATGTCCGTCTCTTTGTGACCCCATGGACTGTAGCCTGCCAGGCTCCTCTGTGCATGGGATTCTCCAGGCAAGAATACTGGAGTGGGTTTCCCTGACCTCCTCCAGGGGATCTTCCCGACCCGCGTCTTTTATGCCTCTTGCATTGGCAGGCAGGTTGTTTATTGTTAGTCCATCTAGGAAGCCCTCTAGAGCTGAAAGTGGAAAGTGAAAATGAAAGTCGCTCAGTCGTGTCTGACTCTTTGTGACCCCATGGACTGATTCTCCAGGCCAGAATACTGGAGTGGGTAGCCTTTCCCTTCTCTAGGGAATCTCCCAAACCCAGGGATTGAACCCAGGTCTCCCACATTGCAGGTGGATTCTTTGCCAGCTGAGCCACAAGGGAAGCCCTCTAGAGCTGAATGTTATTGTAAATAAAAACTGGGGATAGAAGATATGCATATTCTTTACATTTGAGGAGACAAGTGCAGAAAGTTTATAGCAGGTTGTAGAAGAAACAGATGTTGGATATAGTTTGGAATAGGCTGTCCAGGGCCTTAAAGGCATATCTTATGCTCAACAGTTAGAGCCATTAAAGGTTTTTGAGCCATACAGTTGCCTTCAGAAGGTTAAATTAGTTACATTAAATGACAAATTGAAGAGAATTGAAGCGGTTTAGACATAACATTATGTAAGAAGTTAGACATAAAATTATGGACTAGAATAATGAAAATCAAAATAGAAAAAAGATAGCTGAAAACATTACAAAGGGAAAGTTGCAATGCTTGAAATAAGACTTGAGGGAAGACGAGGAATCAAAGATGTTTCAAACTTTTAGGAATCTAGAAATTATAACCTTAAGAAATTTACCTATTCATTCAGCAAATATTTGCAGAATGTCTCCTTGTGCCAGGCATTGCAGGCCCTAAGTAGTAGGATAGCAAATAAAACTAAATTATTTTTAGTGCTTATGTTCTGTTGTAAAGGCATACTGAAATAACTTTTTTTAATGTTTAGATGAAAGCTCAAGAAGTAGAGCTAGCTTTGGAAGAAGTTGAAAAAGCTGGAGAAGAACAAGCAAAATTTGGTAAGTGCCTTGGAGAAAGGATTACTGTGGTGTTAAAGAGTGGATTCCGTTTATTCACTAAGCAATAGAGAATCAACTTTAATATAGAGTCTATAATATTTGTATAGTTTATTTCAAAAGGTTTTTCTAGAACTCCTGTTTCATGAAAAATGTACAAAATAGTTATTTTCTCTTATGTTACATTGTTATAAATATGATAGAGTTTAAAAATTAATTTTATTATTTTATTGAAATTTATTTAAAAGTTTGTTTTGAGATAAATCTAACCAGTTCAAACATTTGTCTTTTTTAATAGAAAATCAATTAAAAACTAAAGTAATGAAACTGGAAAATGAACTAGAGGTATGTTCTTTTGTATTCCTTAGGGTATAATTGTCATAAATATTATCATTTTGAATTATTATTTTCAAATTTTTTCATTATATTTGGCTGGAAAATCACTGGAATGATACTGTGTTTATAATTATTCAGTATATATTTTACATGCCTATTTATGTACCTTAAATTCTATTAAGGATTGCACATCTAATTGTGAACAAAATAAAAATGTTGAGTAACCTCATGGAGCTTACAGTCTAGACTAACATACAGAGAGATTACCATTACTGAGGTGCAGTGAGGCATGTTGTAATTTGAGGAACAGTGACAGAAAGGTATAGGAGAAGAGGAGCTTTCTGAGAAAGCCAAGAGCCAAAATGTGAACATAAATTTTCAGTGAAGGAACTGAATACATTGAAATTATGGAGATTATTGAAAAGAATGTGATACAAATGGATTAGTCTTTATAAGGAGGAAGGACCTTTATCCTTTGTACTTGGAAGGAAGGAAGAATGGATGTTTACAGAAGCTTTTCATGTTGGTAGGTTTAGTGCCTGGAATTTGAGAGGATGAAGAGGTCATCTGCTAAAAATAAGAATGGGAGATGTGTAGTCAAATTTTAAGGAAGTCAGATAAAACCTAAAATATATGGAGAATGAACTGGAGATTTCAGGATCTGGAATGTTCGGATCTTGGTTCTTTCACATATTAGCTCTATGGATTCAGATGGTTTTATTTTTTGTTCCTTATTGTATATCCAGCTTCTCGGGAAATACCATTCTCAATAAGTACTTGTTAACTGAATTATGAGAGCTTCCCCAGTGGCTCCGTGGGTAAGGAATCTGCCTGCAATGCAGGAGATGTAGGAGACGTGGGTTTGATCCTCAGTTCGCGAGATTTTCCCGGCAAGAAAAAGTGGGCTGCAGCCCACTCTGGTATTCTTGCCGGGAAAATCCCACGGACTGAGGAGCCTGACTGGCTATAGTCCAAAGGGTCACGGAGAGTCAGACACGACTGAGCAACTAAGCGCAAGCACAAGCGAGTTAACAGAGTCAGATCAGGTCTGTGCTGGTTTAGCAGGGCAACTGCTACAGGATAGAAGAAGAGGACAGTTGGAGATATTGGTTGAAGCAGTGATTATAAAAAGCTAAATAGGCAAGGAAATCAAGATTGGGATGTTAGGGAGAGATTAAGGAGAAGAGGAGTCAAGGGACGAAAGGGCAGACGTTTTTGTGAATAATTGGAGAATGTTTCTGCTTGGACAAAGTCCTGGTGTGGGGATGGGAGTATGAGGCTATAATGCAGACAAGAAGAGAGTTTAAAAAAAGAAAGTCCAGAATGAAAGTTACATATGTGTAGAAATTGCTTGGGGACTTTTGATGGAAGACCGTGAGCCATGTGCCAAAATTTCTCAGTGAATTTTGTGAAGGAATGACTGGGAAGTTGGTAGTTTGCTGCTACCATGAATAGGTAATGATAAGAAAGCTGGCTATCATGTGAGGTTCAAAGCAGCAGGAGGAGTTTTTACAGGATGGCGGAGGAATGGTAGCCTAGAAATTATAGTTTGTGGTAAATCAACACCTTTTCTTAACCTCTAA